GGTGATTTATTAAAATCAGGAATTAAAGAAGCACATTACTACTGACTCTACAGAAACAAAAAGGATAAATGGAATATCATAAATAGCTATATGCCAATGAATTACATAATTTAGATGAAATGGACAAATTCCTAAAAGATACAAATTTCAGAAGTTGAGTTAAATATAAAATCTGAATAGACATATAACAAGTAAAGATACTGAATTTTACAAATTTCCAAAAACAAAAACCCAGGTCTAGATGGCTTCATTGTTGAAATCCTCCTATCTTTTAAAGAAGATTTATTACCAATTAAATACAAACTCTTTTTCTAGAAGAGGAAGAAACGCTTCTAATTCATCCTATGAGACCTTTATTCTCTTGACACTGGAACTATTAGCTGCTAGGCGAGCACGTTTAGGAGCAAGCTTCTATACTTACAGAGAGAAAAACTGCTGCCCATTAAATGACTTTTATTGCACCTTCAAAACTGTTTTGTTAGAGCTAAGTTTCCTGGAAGCCACTTAAGGATGCCAGCCAAAATTGCTGAGACACTCTGACTCATTGTTTTTAAGTGACATAGAGTAATCTTTGCTCCTTATATCCCTAAATTCTCCACCTAGAGACATTCATGTTCACCTTTTTATTTTGTTTTTTTGAGGGTTTTTTTTTGTTTTGTTTTGTTTTGTTTTGTTTTTTTGGTACCAGGGATCGAACTGGGGTCCTTGTGCTTGTGCAGCAGGCAGCGAAACCACTGAGCTAAATCCCCAGCCCCACCTTTTAGTTTTGAACATGCAATCTATGATCCTGAACTGAGCATGCTCAGTAATATGCTCTCTTCTACATGTGATGCGTCTTTTCTATGAGGGTATGAGAGTATGAGTAAGTTTCTTCAACAAAAGCCCCTCGCTTTGTTTCCTTTGTTCAGGGATAACACTGCTTTGAGAATTAGCTCCAGTGCTATCCTTACTTGCCAACAGCAGTAATACACTCATCAGTCTTCTATCTCCTGGTTATGCTTATTGGCATTGCACTCATCAAAAGGTACACCCATTGTGTTTAGTTACAAAATCAGACAAAGACATTACATGAAAGATGCATCTCTGCAAGATTGAGTCCCAGGTAAGCCAGTTGTGTAAGTATAAATGTCTGAGAGCAGGATTACTGATGTTATAGATGCCAGTTAAGGTCAGAAGAACTGAAAATGAGGCCAGGAGAAGACTGATACCTTAATTCAAGCAGCAAAACAAAGAAAAAAAAATTTTAAGCAGTGATAATTCAACTTTTCTTTACTATTTTTCTATTCAGATTCTTAATGGACTGGAAGATGCCCTCTCACATTTAAAAGGAACATCTGCTTTACTCAGTCCATCAATTCAAATGCTAATTTAAACTTTCTCGCAGACACACCCAGATAAAATATTTAGCCAGATATCTAGGCACTCCATGGCTTTGTCAAGTTGACACATGAAACCAACACAAACTAATATTCCTAAAATTGACCTATAGATTCAAAGTAATCCTTATCAAAATCCTAGTTTGCACTGGGCAGGGTGGCATATACTTCAAATCCCAGCACTGGGGAGGCTATGTACGGTAGGAGGATGTTAAATTTAAGCCCAGTCTAGGCAACTTAGTGAGGCCCCTGTAGCTCAGTGGTAGAGTGTCCCTGGTTTTGATCCCTGGTACTTAAAATAAATTCCAATTTGCTTCTTTGCAGGAACTAACAACCTGACTCTAAAATTAATATGGAAATTCAAGAGATCTAAAATAGCCAAAACAATCTCGCAAAAGAACAGAGTTGGAAGTCTCATGCTTCCTAAATTCAAAACTTACCAGAAAGCTTTAATAATCAAGGCAATGAGAAACTAGCATAAGGATAAACATACAGATTAAGGCAATAGATTTGAGAGTACAGAAATAAATCTTCATACTTAGGGTCAACTGATAGCTAAAAAAGGTGCCAAGACAATTCAATGAGGAAAGAATAGTCTTTTCAATAAGTAGTGCATATAAAACTGCATATCCACATGTAAAAGAATGAACTTGGACTCTGGGATGGTTAATCTTAGGTTTTAACTTAATTGGACACAGAGATGCCTACATGGCTCATAAAACATTGCTTCTAGATATGTCTGAAGGATGTTTTCACAAGACAATGCATATGAGTTGGTGGACTGAGTAAGATTTGACCTTAAGTGAGTGGGGTAGGTGCCATCCAATTGGTCGCCAGGGGAAAGGTGGTAGTGGTAAGGGATGGGGGGAACAAAAAGATGGATGAAAGTTAATTCTCATTCCTTCTCTTTCTCTCTCGCTCCCTCGCTGTCGCTCTTTCTCCCTCTCCCTGACTCCTCCCTCCTCTCTCCTAAAGTGAGTCACTCTTCTCTTGTCCTTGTACATAAGAATTCCAGGTTCTTTGGCCTTTAGACTCTGGGATTTACATTTCTTAGGGCTGTCTGGCCTTCAGCCTCAGATTTAGGGCTATACTATTTGCTTCCTTGATTCTTGAGCATTCCAACTTGCACTAAGCCATGCTACAGACTTTTCAGGTTTTTCCATCTTAGAGACAGCCTATTATGGGCATTCTAACCCTCCATTATCATGTGAGCCAACTCCCCTAATAAATCCATATATATATATATATACACACATACACACACACACTTTTTTTGGTACCGGGGATCAAACTCAGGACCCTGCGCTTGCAAGGCAGGCAGAGGAACCACTGAGCCAAACCCCAGCCCTAAATATATTCTTTTGATCCAGTCTCTGAAGAACTCTAATACAGACCCTGTGCTTATATCATACACAATAATTAACCTAAAATGGTTCATAGATCTAAATGTTAGCACTCAGAATATAAAACTATTAGAAGACAGGATACAGAATAGCTTTTCTATACACCAATAATGAACTAACTGAGAAAGAAATCAGGAAAACAATGCTACTCATAATGTTGCAGAATTTAGGAGATTGGAGAGACCAACAGATGAAACAGGAAGATTTATTTAGATGTGCGGATTCAAATCTAAAGGCTGAGCCCAGAACAAAGGAAGGGCTCTAGTTTTATACATGTTGCCAAATGGGGGTTGGTCTACCTAACAGAGTGAAACTTGTGGGTGGGCAAGCAAGTTTACAGAAGCAGAACAAAGGCAGTTACTCAAACAGTGACAGTTTGTAACATAGCATATCTTGGTGGCCTTGGTTGGGTGAAGAGAAACAGACTCATAAAAACAGGATGTAAAACTGTTATTTATAGGAACAAAGTTGGCAGGACAAAGAACAGCAGCCCCAGGAAGCGGGAAGAGTAAAGGGGAATTGCTTAGGTTGGGGATATTGTTTTTTCTTCTTTTTAAAGTCCTACTTTAATAATATTTTTAAATAAATAAATAAAATACTTAGGAATCAACCTAACCAAGGAGGTAAAAGTCCTCTACACTGAAGAAAGAAATTGAAGACGATAATAAAAGATGGAAAAACCGCCCATGTCCATGAATTGGCAGAATTAATAGTTAAAATGGCCATATTACCAAAAGTAGTGTACAGCGTCAATGCAATCGCCATCAAAATTCCAGTGATATTCTTTATAGAACTAGAAAAAAACAGCCCTAAAATTTATATGGAAACACAAAAGATCCAGTATAACCAAAGCAATCCTAAGCAAAAAGACCAAGGCTGCAGGCATCACAATACCCAATTTCAAATTACACTTCAAAGCCATAGTAACAAAAACAGCATGGTACTGGCAAAAAAAAAAAGTAACATGTAGACCAATAGAATAGAATAGAGGACACAGATAGAAACCTATACAACTATAGCCATCTGATTTTTGACAAAGGGGCAAAAAAATTACATGGGAGAATAGATAGTCTCTTTAACAAATGATCCTGGTAAAACTGGATATCCATACGTGTAAGACTGAAACTAATGGCCAGGGATTTAGCTCAGTGGTGCCCCCGCCTGCCTCAAAAGTGCAAGGTTCTGAGTTTGATCCCCAGTACCAAAAAGAAAAAGACTGAAACTAATGTAATAGTGCAACTGGGGCTACAAGGCCACTCCTGGACTCCCAGCTGGACCACTCCCCTCCACTCACCTGAACCTGAACAACACCCCAGACCCATACCCCCCACACCCTTGTCCTAAAGCTTACTATGCAGAAGCAAAGATAAAAGACCCAAGCCTGCCTTGGAAAATTCTGAAATTCCAAACCAGGAAGCATGCACGCCAATGACCTGCAATAACCTTTCTTCACATGGAGTTCACTGAAGATTCATGCATGTGGACTGCATTTCATACATCCAACTATAAAAGAGTGAATTATGGGTTGTATGGCTTGTGTTTAGATGTTTCCCCCAAAACCTTACCTGGATGATGTGGGGCTTTCTTTTTTAGAGATAGCTGAATCTGGAATGTGTGATGCTGGGATTAAGGGTGTGTAATTACTAAACCATTACACATGAGTGACTGGTTTGGGACAGCCCTAATCCCAGTAGTCTGAATAAGATAAAAGGGGGAGAAAGATGCTGTTAAACTCTCTTGTTGTCTTTGCTACCTTGTGCTCACCATGTTGTTTCTCCTCTGTGATGTCTGTTTTTCATCCCTATCTTGGAGCCAGCCGACTATGGACTGAAACCTCTATGAACTGTAAGCCAAATAAACCCCTTCCCCTCTAACTTTTGGTGCCAGGTATTTTGTCTCAGCATTAAGAGGAAAGTAAGTGGGAAAGGACATGAGTTAAATGCTGTTGACATGACTCAGCACTGTTAATCATGTTGTCAACTGTGCTCTAGAAAACCCCAATAGGAGGCTCCCCAAAACTGGCACAGCATATTAAACCCCCTACACCTTATGCCTTCTACAACATTCCTAATAACACCAGTAAAAAAAAGGTAATCTGTAATTGATAGGTATCAAGATGTAACTGCTCAAATATCAGTCATGAGGATTGCACAATAAAATTCCAGTGCAACAAAATGAAAATAGAAATATTTTCACCAACTCACAACATCTTGATTCTTACCATGTAAGGGTCCACAGAAAGATAAAGAGTTCTAACTTGTACTTGCCCTTCACTGATATTATCTGGCAAATTGACTTCTTCTATTCGGAAATTCTCTGCCACTGGATTGCCATTTTTTCCTAAAATCAGGTAAAAATATAAAGTAAAAAAGTAATTTTCCTATACATTATTTTTTAAAAAGGTCACCCTAGTACTCAGAACATTCCCTTTTAAAACAGGCATGAATAAATTTATGTGGTCTTGTAACTTCTCTGTAACTGCAGAAATGACTACATAAATTCTAAAAGTCTTATCATTTATTCTTTTGGAATATTGCTGTCAGCTTGTAATTTTGGTTTTTTTTACAAAATGATGATAGGTAAATCATTTCACAGTGTAAAATTATAGGAGTTTGAAAAGTGAAAAAATTTACACTCAACTTTTTTTAAATTATGAGAATTGAAATTTACAAACTAGCAAGAACACATCAGCCAAATTGAAATGTTGGGTAAGCTTTCCTCCAAGATACCTTATCTCTGTTCAAAGGATTTCTTCTAATATTATTTACAGTTCTAATGTCTTACCACCTTAATTTACCACATATGGCATCATAATTAGTTTTGTTTTTGTTTTTGTTTTTTTTGAGACAGGGTCGGGCTATGTAGTCCAGGCTGGCCTTAAACTCATGGTGATCCTCCTGCCTCAGCCTCCCAAATGCTGGGATTACAGACATGTACCATCATGCCCAGCCATAATTAGTTTTTATTCCTCCACTTTCATTAATAATTAGCAAAGACCAGAGTTGTTCATTGATCACAGATGAATACATACCAGGTCGGGAATTCAATACCACTCTTTGTACAATCATCATTCCATGCAGTGGTCTCACAAGATTTCTCATAAAATAACTCCTATAAACACAAAAATTTTAAATCACAAGATTTCAAGTATTCAACAATTTAAAAAATAAAAAAAGAATTAAGAGAGGAAAAATCCTACCTAGGATCCAAAAAAGATATATTCTCTTGTCAAGAGTTTGGCTTCTAAAGCAAATCTAGTTAGACTTTTTAGTCAACAGGAACAAGGTCACTGAAGAGTGAATAAGGCAATCTCATTTTGGCCTCAGATAATTCAAGCACATTTATCCTCACACCATCATGATTAAGCATCCTAGTATGGGTTGATTAAAAGAAAAACATGATATATTTCTCTAGACCTAGCTGGTTAACCTAGCAGCAAAACACTAACTGCCTAATTGAGTTATAACCAACTTTTCAAAGGTTCTTTTATTCATTTATCAAAATGGAAATTCTTTTATAGTTTTGCTGACTATAAAAGTAATACATTAAACACCCCTATGATGGCTTGTATCTAGATATCCCTCTAAGGCCTCATACATTCATGGGGGAGGGGGCTTTTCAGAGCTTGCTGGATCTAAGGCATGTGATACTGGGATTAAGGGAGTGTGGTATTAAATTAGTCCACAGATCAGAATTAGCATAGTTCTGGGTGTGGTTGAATGGATTTACTGAAGACCAAAGCCCCACCCTGAGTGTGGGTGGTACCACCCAAAAGGCTTGTAATCTGGATGAGATGAAAAAGAAAGGCAGGCAGCTCTCTGTTTGCTGCCTTCTGCCTGCCTCACCATAAACTGTTTCTCTTCTGTGATGATGAACCTGTGCCACACCACCCTGCCTCGGAGTCAGGTGACTATGGACTGAACCTCTACAACATGTGAGCCAAAATAAACCTTTCCTCCTTTTAACTTGTGGGTATTGGGTATTTTGTCTCAGCAAAGAGAAGAGTTAACTAAAACCCTCCTCCCTCTTTTTGAGACAAGTCTGTGTTGCCCAGACTGGCCTTAAACCCTTGAACTCAAGTGATCCTCCTGCCTCAGCTTTCCAAGTATCTGGACTATAGGTTCATGCCACCATGCCCAAAGCATTTTTATTTTATTTTATTTTATTTTATTTTATTTTATTTTTGGTACCGGGGATCGAACTCGGGACCTTGCACTTTCAAGGCAGGTGATGGCACCACTGAGCTAAATCCTCTGCCCCCCCCCCCCAAAGCATTTTTAAATCTTTATCTTACAGGGAAGTCTGTACAGAATGGCCAAAAAAGTAAAAGATTCATTTATTCCGGGTTTACAATTTGAGCTAATGAAAACAACAAAATGAAGTTCCCTGGTGCTGGAACTATCTGACTTAATTGAAAATCCCTTTGGTTTATCAGTAAAAAATGAAAAAATCAAACCCTTGGTGTTTTTATGTGCTAAGCACACTTGTGAATGTATAGATGATCTCTCATTTAATCTCCTGACAACTCTATTTTAGAGTGTTATTTCCCCATTTAAAGGTAAAGAAACTGCATCTTAAAGGGCTTAATCACTTACCTGAAGTGGTCAAGATTCAAACCCAAGTTACATGACATTCTTCTTAATTACTATTAAAAATTCTGTTCTACATGTTTGATTTTTAAGATATTATACAAATAACATTTTTTATATTATTTTTCTTTAAGTTAATACATTTCTATACCACTTGTGTTTTCTCATTAGATATTTTACTGTCTTTAGTACATTGAGAAGCCCGGAGGAAAACCATTCTATCAGTTGTTTTTTTTTGTGGGTGGTAATGGGGATTGAATCCAAGGCCTTTGCAATAGGGTGAATGTTTAGATAAAGAACAATTTATTACAGTAACAGACACATTGCCATTAATTCCTCTCAGAATATTCCCCTCTTGCTTCAGACATGCTTACTCAATTGTTCTTGACACTTCTGGAGCAGTTCTGGAAGTCCTCTTTTGTGAATGTCTTTAGTTGCACTATGTGGCTCCCTTCATGTCTTGAATAGATTAAAAATGCTTACCCTGCATGGTCATTTTGACTTTGGGGAAGAGCTAGAAGTTACACACTGCCAGATACAGAGAATAAGGTGGGTAGGAACACAGCTTGATGTTTTTATGAACCTGCCTTTCCAATGAATGGCACTTGGCAACTACATTCACCATGCATTTTTTTAAATCACAAAATCATAAAGTGCCAAGAATGATGGGATAAATATGTTTGAAGCAAGGAACAGTGTTTTGATGAGGATTAATGACAATGTGTTTTTTACTGTAATAGGTTTTTTTTGTTTATTTTTGAGACAGTGTCTTGCTACATAGTTCAGGCTAGTCTTGAACTCCCTATGTAGCTCAGGTTGGCCTCAAACTCACAGTGATCCTCCTATCTCAGCCTCCCAAGTACTGGGATTATAGGCATGTGTCACCCAACCCAGCAATAGTAGACTATTCACCGTATGTAATTAAGTCACTAAGTTGTTCAGGCTGAGTTCAAATTTGTGATCCTCCTGCCTCAGCTTCCCAGAATACTGGGATTACAGTGCACCAATCACACTCAGTTTCAATTCCTTTTTTTTTTTTTTTTTTTTTTTGGTACTGGGGATCGAACTTGGGACCTCATGCTTGCAAGGCAGGCAACAGCACCACTGAGCTAAATCCCCCGCCCTCGATTACTTATTTTTTACAACCTTGAAATATATGTAGCCATCAGAATCATCTCCAAGGTTGTTTATCCTGACAATTCTTTAAAACAAACGGGCCAAGGATGCAGCTCAGTGGCGCCGCGCCTGCCTGAGTTAGACCCACGGTACCGGAAAAAAGAAAACAATATTTAAAACAAACACAAACACCTGATTCTTGGGTATTCCCTATCCTACAGTCTTAGGCAGTAACACCAGTGTCGCCAGCAGCTCCAGGAGGAAGCCAGGAGTTCACGCTAATTCCAACTTTCCTCCCTTACCGCGCGAGCTTTACCCAGCTTCAGGTACTGCAAACTCACCAGCCACCAGCGAACAATCCACTTGAGTCACTTCACCTTCGCGGAGGTTGAGGGCTAGGGTGGGAGATCTCGCGCTATTTCATGGGATCGGGCCTGGCTGGCCGCGCGACATTGAACCTCTGACTTCACTACGCAGGCGCAAGCGGCCTGCCGCGCGCTACTGCCTTTCCTGGTTGAGGGAAATACCGTCTTTCGAAAGGTAAGTCCCAAGTGTAAGCAAAGTGCATTAATAAATTAACGAAGCTCGGTGCTTTTTGGCCCCTCTACTGCATGGGTCCAAGAGCAAATTGTTCAACGCTGGCCAGTGAGGTCACATACAGCAGTCCTTGAAGGATTTTATTCATGTTCCGTGAGCCTCGGGTTGGGAATTTACACTGACGGGGATCCTGATCAGACCTGTCCCTTGCTTTATAGACGGGAACGCCGAGGGCCGAAGAGCTGATGTGGTTGAACCAACCTCTCATTTTCAGCCAATAGGGGCACTGCTGCGGTTAAAACTTTCTGGCGCGTCTTTTTGACAGTATTTAGTATTTTCAAAGCATTCCAAATTCCTCAAAAATGGATTACTTAACGTGGGCTGATTTCTCAATTTCGTTAATTAGTAGGTGCCTCCTATTGTGTTGGACTAGGTTGAACAAAGCTTATTCCTAGGGCAGCTTTGGATTGCCAAGGACCTCAAACCCTAAGAGAATTCAAGCAAATACACAGAAGAACTGCTGTTCATATTGAATTCCTGTGGGACCTGATAATGCAGCACATATCATGGAATAGAGTACCTGAAAGACGACTGGTATGGGCGGGGGTTACCAATCGAATAGGCGGAAGCTCCTTATATTTTTTACCTTGGAACATTCTCACTTCTTGGGAAAACTGGATAGAGCTAGATGGGGTTGGGGGAGGGCCAGGGCGGTGCTGGGAATTGAACCCAAAGCTTTTGCACAGAGCTACAGCCCCAGCCTTTTAAAAGTTTTTTTAAATTATGAGACAGGGTCTAGATAAATCACTAAGTTGCCCGGGCTGGGCTTGAAATTTGCAGTCCTCCTGCCTCAGCCAGTAAGAGTCCTGGTATTACAGATGTGTGCCACTATGCCAGACTTGCAAATATCTTCAGCAGAGATTAATTTTTTTTGAGGCAGGAGTCTCACTATATAGTCCAGACAAGCCTTGAATTTGCTGTGTAGTCCAGGCTGGCCCCAAATGGGAGATTCTCCTACCTCGGCGTCTTGAGTGGCAGAACTGCAGGCTGGACCTAACCTTTTTATCTGTCATGTACAGAGACCTGCATTAACCTTTTATTGTAATAATTTGAATCAATGCAATGAAAAAAAAATGCTCAGACTAAAATAGTAGAAAATAAACGTATTCTAAAACTTGATTTTTTTTTTTTTAAAGAGTATTTCAGAGTACCCCAAACAAAACAAAAACCCTACAGTATTAAATTAGTTCGGGCTTTCTTGATTCTAGAGTCAGTAAATTCCTTGTAATATGTGAGAAATTACTCAGAAGGAACTCAAGTATACCTGTATAGTGTATAGCATTCGGTACAATATCAGAAATAATTTGATGCTAAATATATTTTCATGGAAATGATAATGGTTCATAATGGCATAAATGTAAACCTAAACATACATCCTAGAGAAATAACACGACAAGGTAATAGAGGAAAACCACACCCATCTCTCCATTAGTCCTGATTCCTCATTAGTGTTTTGGTGGGGGAGTGTTGTTGTTGTTGTTGTTTGGTACCAGGGATCAAACACGGGACCTTGCACTTTCGAGGCAGGGGGTGGCACCACTGAGCTAAATCCCCGGACAATTCCTCATTAGTATGACATTTGTTTTCCTCAACCTCCCAACACCTTTTATTAGGCCTAGAAGAAGGTGCTTGATAACTGTAGGTTGAATAGATTATTAGACCTTTATATTGATGGATTTGTCTAAAGTTCGTAAGAAATACGTGAAGAATTTATGCTAGCTGAGCTTGGTGGTACACATCTGTAATCTCAACTATGCAGGAGTCTAAGGCAGGAGAATCACAAATAATTAGAAACCATCTTGGGCAATTTACCTTGCCTCAGAATAAATCTCATAAGGGCTGAGAGTGTAGCTCAGTGGTAGAGCACTAGCCTAGCATGCATGAGGCTCTGGGTTCCATCCCAGCACCACAAAGACAGAGAGGTAAAGGGGAAGAGGGGACAATACGAATGAATCCAGGCACAGTTTGCCTGGGTACCTCCACTCAAGGTCCCTGCAGTCCAGCTTCTATCTCCTAAGAAGACAGCAAGGATTTGCTTCCAGGCTTTCTCATATGACCCTAGATTCCACATGGGCTGTTGGGTTAGTGGAAGGCCTCAGTTCCTACAGGCCATGCCAGTGAAGTGAGCCAGCAAATAAATAACAACATGCATTTCCTAAACTCCTCCTGTTCTCCACAGCAAGCAGTTAAAAAAAAAAATAGAACTCACTCAGGATAGAAGCTACCGTCTTTATTTTTTAAACATTTTTGGTGTTGGTGATTGAACACATGTTAAGCATGTGTTCTGCCCCTGAGCTACATGCCTATCACCTCTTCCTAATTGTAAAGGAATTTCATGATTTTTGATATTCCATTTTTCCCATTTATCCTCTTAAACTGGACCCCAATTAAAAGCCTTTGAGATCATTAGGACTAAGGCTTATGTGCCACAAGAACATAAATTCAGAATGTATAAAGAATATAGATGAGTTTTTGATTTACATAAGATTCTTTTGATTTTGAGTATCTAGCATAAGTAAAAACAAAAAGGAAACTTCTCCAAATTTTCAAGAGCTATTTCAGAATTCAAGAAGAAACCAAGAAGACAAACTTTAGGTAGAAAGAGTTCTAGAAACCACAATAAGCTGTATAGACCACCTCTCTGGATTCAGCTCCAGGGACTCCATATAAGGGAAAATTCCAAATTTCTAGGATAAAGATTGGTTTCCCTTGGGTTAGGAGCACCATGATCCTTGAGAAACATCCTTCTACGTGGGAGGAAGGGTCTAGGAAAAGAATATGGTCATCCGCAAATGGAAAAAATTCCCAGTGTTAGCTCTTCTCTGAGAAACCTAGTATAGGCCCATTTGTGGAACTTTAATGTTCTTAACTAGGACGGTGGTACAATTAAAGTGGTGATGTTACCTTTTAGTTTCTTTCATTATCTGACCTTAAAATTTTTCCTGTACAAATGAAGAATTCTTGCCGGGAGTGGTGGCACCTGCCTGTAATCCCAGTACTCTGGAGGCTGAGGCAGGAGGATCGCTGCAAGTTCCACGACAGCCTGAAAGGGGAGGGGGAGGAGGAGAATTCTTGCTAAAGTATCACAACACAATAGAAGTTTATTAAATTACTACATAAAAATAGTAAACTGGTACATGGAAAAACATGATAAGCTTAGTCAAAAGCAAATGATAGGCCAGGTTTGGTGGCACATACCTGTAATCCCAGGACTTGGAAGGCTGAGGCAGGAGGATCACTGTGAGTTCGAGGCCAGCCTTGGCTACATAGTGAGTTCAAGGCCAGCCTGAACTATATAGCAAGACTCTGTCTCAAAAAAGCAAACAAGGACCCGAGTTCGATCTCCAGTACCAAAAGAAAAAACACCAAATGATAGGGGCCAGGGATTTAGCTCAGTGGTCCCGCTGCCTGCCTTGCAAGTGCAAGGTCCCAAGTTCAGTCCCAGTACCAAAAAAAAAAAAAAAGCAAACGATGAACAGGGAGACAATATTTGAAATATATATATCAGAACAATGGCTGGTATCCTGAATTTACAAAGTTTTTAACAGTTGAATGAAGGGGAGGGGCACCAAAAATCCAATAAAAAAATGAACAAGAGACATGGACAATTCATAAGAAGGGATATAGAAGTATTTTTAAAATATTCAACTTCACTCACAAGAGAAATGCAGATTAAAACTTACCATTTCTTTTTTTTTTTTTTTTGGTACCGGGGATTGAACTCGGGTCCTTGCGCTTGCACAGCAGGTGACGAAACCACTGAGCTAAATCCCCAGGCCTAAAATTTTTTCTTTCTTTCTATTTTTTTTTTGGTACTGGGGATCAAACTCAGGTCCTAAAACTTACCATTTCTTACCTACAAGACTGGATACAATTCAAAAGCTTGACAATAAGACCATTTCAAAGACAAAAAAAACCTAGAGACTACAATACATACTTGTGACAGGATTGTTAGGAAAGCCAATACTCACATTTATGATTGATTGGAATAAGACATGAATGGATCTCTTTTTTTTTTGGTACCGGGGATCGAACTCAAGTCCTTGGACTTGCACAGCAGGCAGTGAAACCACTGAGCTAAATCCCCAGCCCTATGAATGGATCTCTTATGAGGGAAATTTGACAATTTCTTTTTATTGTTATTTTTTGAGACAGGGTTTCACCATGTTGCCCAAGCTGGCCTTGAACTCATGGATTCAAGTGATCCTCCTACCTAAGCTTCCCATATAGCTGGAACTGTAGGCATGCACTACCACACCAGTGAACTTAGTCATTTCTAATAAAATATATGTACATTTATCTTTGAGTTCAGCAATTCCACTTTTTAAATTTACCTGGAATTTGTTTAGATATAGGTAGGTGAGTAGGTAGATAGAGATTGACATGTGCTTTACAGCATTAATGTGAAATATTGGAAACTACATAAATGTTCAAGACTAGGAGATTGATTGAATAAATTATGGTACATCCATCCATTGGAGTATTGTGCAGTTTTAATAAAGGCCAAGGAAGATCATTATGAACTGATAAGAGTAATTTCCAGGAAACATTGTGCACATTGAGGCCATACTCCTTTTTTTTTTGGTACGCGGGATTGAACTCCGGGCCTTGTGCTTGCAAGGCAGGCAGTGGCACCACTGAGCTAAATCCCCAGCTTGAGGCCATACTCTTAAGTGAAATAAATAGGACACACATGTGTAAATACCAAATAGTTTCTCTGGTGTGAGAAACAAAGTGTAAATAAGGATCAAAATGTATAATAGATAATGTGAAATAGGAAGAAAAGGTCCAAAGGGGAACGGGAAGGGGGTTAGGTAGAGGAAAGGACAAAAAGGAAAGGAATAAATATGAGAAAAGGAAAAAATGGAAACAGAGTCTTTATAAATGGGGGGGGGGTGACGGGAGGATAGGGAAATGGGGGAAAAAATAAGAACCAAGATATATAAAGGTACAAATTCCCAATAATGAATGTCAGCATATTGTATACCTAAAATGTACCGATAAAATTAATAAAATTAATGAAAAAAAAGCAAAATCCAAATAATCATACATAGGGTGCTATGTTTTTTGTTTTTATATGTGTATATGTTTTGAGACAGGGTCTTCCTATGGTGCCAAGACTAGCCTCAAGCTCCAGGGCTCAAGGGATATTTTTCTGCCTCAACCTCCCAAGGAGCTAGAACTACAAGTACATCCAACTGTCCCTGGGATCTAAGTCCTCTTTTTTTTTTTTTTATTGGTACCAGGGATCGAACTTGGGACCTTGCGCTTGCGCAGCAGGCAGCAAAACCACTGAGCTAAATCTCCCACCCTACTTACGTAAAGTTTTAAAGCATGTGAAGCAATGCTGTCCTGTACTGTATATTGTTTATAGATACAACTCACGCTGTAAAAAGGATAAAACTGCAAGGGAATGATAAACTCCCCATCCATATTAAGAAAGTTACTTCTGGAGGGAGAGAAGTAAGATTAGGCAGGGGATACAAATACCGTTGTATGTATAATATTGTGTTTCTTAAACTGAACAGTGCCTGGATGTTTGTTATATATTCAATAAACTTTTTAAATTCATAAAATATTTTATGATACCAAAACTTTTTTAAAGGGCTGGAGGGGATGGCTCAGTGACAGAATGCTTTCCTAATATGTGCAAGCCCTGGACTCTATCCCCAACATCAAAAAATAAATAAGTACATTACTAGATAACATTATTTTAAAGAGGTCAGGAGAATTAGAGTTACATTTCAAATTAGAGTTACATTTCAAAGAGAAAGATCAGATTGGCTCTTAGAGCACATGGGCATCTGTATAGAATGAGATTTAATTTACTTGGGTATTATCTGAGGATCCCAGAGGCCTTACATTTGTGTGATTAATGTAATTTTCCAAAGCCCTTCATATTTCTTAAGCCTTTTCTGAAAAGCACTAAGACTTCACACATTGTAGGTCTATGTTGGAGGACAAGTGGTGGGGCTATTAATATCAGAAAGAGTTACATCAGGAAGAATTATAAAAGACTTTGAAATGGGCAAAAAATTGATGGTGAGCAAAACAAGATTTGAAACGGGCAAAAGAAGACAGGTACCCTGTCAAGCAGGTTATTTTTATCTTTCATTCTCTCAGGTATTTTACAGCTCTGCAGGTGGCAAGACACTGATAACAGTGCAAATAATTCTGGTCCATAGAAATGCAAATGCAGATTGTTCCCAGAGTACTATTGATCTCTATCTATCCCATTCGCCCAGTAAGTCTGAGTTGCACCTGTTAAGCAAATTAATCTCAGCATTGCTGATTATCTATACAGGTGCCTGCTCTTGGTATTATCCTAGAGCTCTTTGTAATATTTTTCTGGTTTGCTTATCAATTAATGAGTTAAACAAAACTTTTAACATTAGAGTCATCATTTTACTTTTTTTTTTTTTTTGGTACCTGGGATTGAACTTGGAACCTTGTGCTTCCAAGGCCGACAGCAGAACCACTGAGCTAAATCCCTGGCCCATCATTTTACTTTTTAAAAATAATTAGTTTATAACAAAAGGAGAGGATGCTCTTTCATTTCATCTTTGCTACTGGGGTTCAGCAAACAATACCTCATAGTATGGCACTTTGGCCTGCTAAGTACTTTGAACTAAGGGGCATTGGAAGGCCTAAGAAGCAGCCTCAGATTCAAGTTTCTTTAACCTTCTGCCGTCACATTTCTTGCTCCTCATTTCCTCTAAAACAAGTAGAAACCAGAACACCTCTTTCCCAAGGCAAGCCATAGAAACAAGAGCCCCTTTTCCCCTAAGCAAGCTATAAGACCTAGGAATATCACCCTAATCTTCCTCCACCTTTCTACTAGACCTGCCTGATAATAGGTCATAAGACCCTCCTTTAAGGGCCGGGGATTTAGCTCAGTGGTTTCACCACCTGCTGCGCAAGTACAAGGACTTGAGTTCAATCCCAGGTACCAAAAAAAAAAGACCCTCCTTTAAATCAAAGGGGTTCTGCCCCATACCTGTGAGGAAGAAATGCTAAAACTGAGAGGCCAAGAAGGATCTGAACAGACAGGCCTTGTTTGTTTCTCCACTCAATCTATTACTATTACATCATACTTTTTTGTCCAATCATATTTCTATATAGCTGTCCCTACTTCATCCAACCTAAGCATGAAATAACATTTTCCCTGTGTCTTTGGGTCTTTTGTTCTGAAAGCATCCATGTCATGTAGACTATTATTAAGTAAATTTGTTATGCTTTTTCCTGTTATTTTTGTGTGCATTTGTATGTGTGCATTTCTTCGTGTGTGTGTGTGTGTGTGTGTGTGTGCGTGGTAATGGAGATTGAACCCAGACCATCACACTGAACTACATCCCTGCTGCCGCTCCCCCCACCCTTTAAAAAATTTTTACTTTTGAAGCAGTTTTCACAAAGTTGCTCAGGGTGGGCTGGAACTTGTGATCCTCCTGCCTCAGCCTTACTTAATTTAGTTATCTTTTTTTTCTCTTCAGCGCTCTTCCAGTTTTTTGGGGTTTTTTTGGTACTGGGAATTGAACCCAGGGCCTTGCACTTATTATGCAGGTGCTCTATTCTTATAGGAAATAATACCAGAGATAAAATATGAAATATTATATCTCCCAACCTGTTAACAGCATTGTACGCCGAGTTCTTGTTTTCTAGAAATCAAAGAATGAGTCCTAGGAACAACAGAGGTTAAGAGTAGAAAGATATTTATTGATAGGAAAGCTCCTGAGGGGCAGGAGGCAGACCTGAGTGGGTAGCCCGGGAATCCCCGCTTTACAGAGGAATTTTATAGAGTGAAACCCATGTGGATACAATGTGGGGCACAGCCCTGACCATCCAATAAGGTTACAAGTATAGTCACTTAGGTAACGGTGGTCCAATTGGGAAACAAGTCACACGTAACAAACGTGGATGGAAAGAACAAAGATTCTCCTAGGAAGTGGTAGGTCCACAGGTCTCTGGTCACCCACCGGGGTGGTTGAGGTCTATCTAGACTTCATTAGGCCCAGTGTTTGTTCTTTGAGGAAGTATGTAGGTCTGATCCTCTTGTCTTTATCTTGAGGCCTGATTTTTGCTGATGTGTCTCTGGTGCAGCTGTGGTATGTTTCACCTTTGTCCTGACCCTCTCAAGGACCTAGCCCTATCTGACAGCCTATAATATTTCTATCTAGCTCATCTATCTATAATACTACCACTAAACTACATCTTAAATCCCCTTTTTAAAATTTTTATTTTGAAGCAGGATCTCACTAAACTGCTTAGGCTAAGCTCAAATTTACAGGCTGGGGATTTAGCTCAGTGGTTCCGCCACCTGCCTTGCAAGCGTAAGGACCCGAGTTCGATCCCTGGTACCAAAAAAAAAAAATTTACAATCCTCCCATTTCAGGTTCTTGAGTAGCTGGGATTACAAGTGCGTGCCAACACACTTCCTCTTTTCCTTTTGCTCCTCCTTGTTGAGAGTTTTTAATAAACTGATTTTTAAACATTGACTTCTTGCTCCTTTAGCAACTGGAAATATACCAAATATCGTTTACTAAGAAAGTAATCCATCAAGGTTTTCTCTGTGATTAAGGCCAATCTACATTTACTACCTTTGTGAAAATTTGAAGTCAGAAATTTAAAACAGACCCATTTCCCTGCTTCTTTCTCTTCAACTTCCCTCTTCCTGAACTGAGCCTTTGCTTTTAACGTTGTACATGTGTGATATATATTTATCAAATTAATACATGAATGGATATCTATTTTGTGCTTACCACCATAGTAGGTGCTAAGTAGCATATCTTTTTTTTTTTGGTGCCGGGGATTGAACTCAGGATCTTATGCTTGCAAGGCAGGCGGTAGAACCACTGAGCTAAATCTCCAGGCCCTAAGTAGCATATCATAAAAATACAAATTACAGTCCTTGACCCTTGGAAGTTTATGGTCCATTTGGGAAGGTAGTATTTACCAAATGGTCAATACAAAAATAAGCAAAGAGTAAGTGGCAATAAATGTTTCATTCATTCATTGAGTGAGTAATTACAGTATTGATTGCCTGTTATATACAGGTACTATATCATACAGTAGTGAACAAGGCCCAAACAGACCTTTCTTCCCCAAGCATAGTCTAGTGAGGACCGTGGACAAGAAATCAGGCCGTTATAATACAGCATTTCCAGGCCTAAATTAGCAGAGAAGGACAGGATGTTAAGGGAACAAATAAGAAGAGAACCTGACCCTGAGTAGGCAGTTTGGAAAGACCTTGAAGCAAATGATGTGTAAACTGAAATCTTAAAGACATCATGGCAAATTAGCCCAGTTTTGGGGATAGGAGCAGAATGAGCTGTAGATGAGAATTGACCCAGACTGTGGAAACATTTCATATTCAAGTCTGGGGGTAAGGGAAAGCAAAGTATATTGAAGTAACCAGAGGAAGTTTAGTATGGCTAAAGCAAGGAATTTGAGGGAGGCAAGTGGAAAGGGTTGTGAGAAGAGTGATGACAAGAGACCAGATTATATGGAACTTTGTTAGCTATGTTAAGAAATTTCAATTTTATACCACGTGTAGTGATGTACACTTGTAATCCTAGCACTCTAGCAAGCTGAGGCAGAAGGAGCTCAAGTTTGAGGCCAGCCTGGACGATTTAGTGAGACTCTGCCTCAAAAAAAAAAAGTGGCTGGGATGAAGCTCACAAGAAGACCCTGGGTTCAATCCTTGGTACTGAAGGAAAAAAATGAAAGGAAAGAAGGAATACATTTCTATTTTAGGGCTGGGCTTTAGCTCAGTGGTAGAGCACATGGCGAGCATGTACAAGGCCCCGTGTTTGATGCCGAGAACCCTGAAGAAAGAAAAAAAAAAGAAATTTCAATTTTGTTGTAAGAACAATGTTTTTTAAAAGATTGAGCCTGATCATATTTGTCTTTTTAGGGAGTCACTCTGGCTAGAATAAGAAGAATGGATTTGAAATGGCCTGGACTGGACTAGAGGAAGAAGTCTAAGCAAAAGATAATGGTGAGCTGAATAAAGGTGATTGTAGAGGGAATGCAAAAGGACATACTATGGGATATTTAGGAGTTAGAACCAACAGGTCTTGATGATAAATGGACTGAAGTGGAGACAGCCAATAATCAGTGTGTGGATGGGTATTTGGAGTCCAAGACAGACACTGGACTAGAGGTACAGTTAGGTAGCAAGTCCAGATCTGTGAAATAAGATAAGATGGCTCAAAAAGAGGAAGTGAGTCCCAGAAAGATCTCTGAAGACCTCAACATTTAGAGGAAAAGTAGACAAGGAAGAGTCAGCAAAGAAGCAGACAGAAAATTACCAGAGACGTGGAAGGAAAACCAAGATAGCAGAATGTCAAGGAAGTCCAGGGAAGAGATTGCTTCAAAATGGAGGGCAGGGGCTGAGGTGTAGCTCAGTATCTGCTAGTACATTCAAGGTCCTTGGTTTGATCCCCAGCAGTGCAAAACAAAACAGAAACAGAAATAGAGGGCAAAGTCAGCAGGGTCCAAGGATGCAGAAAGACTAAGGAAGATGAAATCTGAATGTGACTTCTGAATCATTTGGCTGCAAGGAAATTGTTGGAGATCTTGGTAAGAGCAGTTCAGTGGCATGTTGAATGGTGATTGCAATAATGAGATAAGACAATGCTAATTGTTACATTATTTTGGAATTACCAAAAGGGGGAAAATTTGTTACCCCTTTATCTTGCATAAGTATGTTGCAGCCCTGTTAAACAATGCTGTGTATGCTTTCTCTCACTACTACAGTTGAATTTCTTGAGCCTAGAGATTTATCTCATTCATTTTACAGCCCTAGTGACTAACACGGTCTGTGACAGATGTAAAGAGTAGAACATATATTTGTAAATTTAATAGATCATTTAGGGTTTTTGGGTTTTTTGTATTAAATTATTTTATTGGTACATTGTAGGTATACAGCACAATTGCATTTCTCATTGGGAATTGTACCTTTACATAATGCATCTTGGTTCTTATTTTTTCCCCATTCCTAGCCCTCCCTTCACGCCCTCCACCCTTCCCTATTCCATTTCTCATCATTTTTCCTTTCCCTTCTTTCCTTTCCCCTGCCCCTCCCACTACCCCTACCCCTTTGGACCTTTTCTTCCTATTTTACATTATCGATTATTCATTCTAATCATTGGTACATTTTAGGTATACAATATAATGACATTCATCATTGGTAATTTGCATCTTTACATATTCTCTCTTGGTTCTTATTTTTCACCCTTGCCTAGCCCTCCCTTCAACCCCTCCAGTCCTCCCTATTTACAAAGATTTTGTTCCTATTTTTCCATTTTCTCATATTAATCCCATTCCCTTCTATCCTTTCCCCTAGCCCTCCCACTTCCTTCCCCTTTGCCCCTTTTCTTCCTATTTCACATGACCTGTTATACATTTAGTCCTTATTTACACTTTCCGTTTCTCACACCAGAGAAACTATTCGGTATTTACACGTGTGTCCTATTTATTTCACTTAAGAGTATCGCCTCAATGTGCATCCACTTAGCTATAAATGTCTCTAATTTCTCATTTTTGATGGCTGAGTAGTACTCCATTTTATTAAAAAACCATATTTTCTTTATCCAGTCTCCAGTTGATGGGCATTTGGGCTGTTTCCAAGTTTTAGCTATCACAAACTGCACTGCTATGAACATGGGTGCACATATATCACTGTGGTATGATTCTTTTAATTCTTTGGGGAAGATCCCCAGCAGTGGAATAGCAGGGTCAAATGGGACTTCCAGTCCTAGTTCTTTGAGGTATCTCCATACTGATTTCCACAGTGCTTGCACCAGTCTACACTCCCACCAGCAGTGGAGCAGAGTTCCTCTTTCCCCACAGATTTAGGGTTTTTTTTTTTCCCCTTAATTCAAGTCGTCCACAGCATCTCAGACAAATGTCTAAGCTCTGTGGTCAGCTCTTGAAGAGCATTTGAGAAGCAGTTGTGAATAGGAGCTGAAACCGGTAATTCCATCTCTGTGACTTCTCATTCATCACTAGACCAGTCACACAGCCTCTCTAGTCTCAACTTTCTCATCTCTGAAGTGACTACCTTTATATTTACCATCAGAGGTATTCAGAACCTTAATTAACATCAAAGAAAGAATTTGTAATCCTCATAACATGAGCTCTATAATTGAAAAACCATAGCATTATCATGGCCCATTTCATTTCATCTGGATGTTTTCTTAACTGGATCAGTTTTACATTTCAATGTGAATTAGTATGCAGTGCTACTGTTAAATTGAGTGTTGAATTTCACTCCCCAAACAGTTTTTGCTTTCAATAATGGGAAAAAATGAAGCATACATTATCACAGTAATAACACCCTCACTTGTGAGTTGTCATTTCACAAGAATCTTTTTTTTCTTATTTCACAAGAATCTTATAACAGGAGTTGGGCACAATTATTGCTTAGAAGAGAGACCTTCTGAGAAAAGGTACATACTGTAAGGACAATCTTTACAGATATTGTTTACATTTCTCTTTTCTATTTCCATATTCTATTCATGAGAACCCAGGAGAAGATGAGGCCGAGCATCGTACAGGTTCAGATAGTCTCAAAATAATAGCTCCAGTTTCTCCCCCAGCTGCTCCACCAACCCTATGAGGCTCCTCTCACTAACACTGATATTCCAGGCAGAACTTCCTTATACCTGGCTCTAGCCAGTTCTCTTTTCCTTTTTGGGTACTAAAGAACTAGTAGCTCAGAACTTGTGGTTTAAGATAGGGTCTCACTGTGTAACCCAGGCTGGCCTCAAATCCATGATCCTCCTGTCTGTCAGTCTCCTGAGATCTGGGATTATAGACTTGTGCCACCACAATCAGTTAAAATCTCTTCAGTTTCCATGTCCTGTTGGTACTCTACTACACTCCTACTGTGGCCAGAAATCAATTATAAATGCTACTTTATCCATATATATATTCATATATATATATATATCAATTCAAGTTCCTAGACATAAAAACATTCAGATTTTCTTTTTTCTTTTTTTTGGTACCGGGGATCAAACTCAGGACCTTGCTTTGCGCTTGCAAGGCTGGCGGTGGCACCACTGACCTACATCCCCAGCCCATTCAGATTTTCTCTTCAGACATTTTGCAGCAGAGAAAAGAATGCCAGTTCACTGGGTGTTATTTTGCCCAGGATTACCTGTTGGAAAACTTAAAGAATCAAATTAGTGTGGTTTATAGTAATAATCTAGAATAATTTATTAGAACATTATATTTCCCAAAGGTTAAATACATTATATGTGAAAATACAAATTTACTTTGGGGAATGGGAAGAAAAACAAAGGGAAAAAATAAAAACAAAAATAATAAAAAAGAAAAACAAAGGGGAGATTTGGATAGGGTATATAAACAAATAATTTAGCTATAATAAAACAAGATAATATAGCTGAGTCAAAAATTGTTATGTTCAAGAATGAAAATGTTTTGAAGAACAGTTTCAAGTTGTTATATTTTATTATAATAAAAAGATCATAAAGTTTTATTGCATATTGCAGTAAATGAATGATAGGTAGCAATTATTAAAAGCATCCCCTGAGCCGGGCATGGTAGCACATGCCTGTAATCCCACCACTTGGGAGGCTGAGATAAGAGGAGCATCTCAAGTTTAAGGCCAGCCTGGGCTATATAGTGAGACCTGTCTCAGAACATACATACACACACACACACACACACACACACACAAAACATCTCTGAACTGTCTGTATGGTGCTTCTATCTTTTAAAGAAAAATTGTGTTATGTAATAAAGAACTTGGCCTTTGTCCCTGGTTCCTGGGAAGGAGAATCTAAATCTTCGGAATGTACCTAAATGTACCAATAAATGAATATAAATCAATCATTCTTTGGAATGTTCCAAGTTGCACAAGTGTGTTTTATCCATGAGTTGCTTGAATTTGTAATAGCTAAAGCTTAGAAACAGCCCAAATGCCCATTGACTGGAAACTAGATAAAGAAGATGTGGGTTTTTTTATAAAATGGAGTACTACTCAGCCATAAAGAATGAGAAACTAGAGACATTTATAGCTAAATGGATGCATATTGAGGCCATACTCTTAAGTGAAATAAATAGGACACACATGTGTAAATACCGAATAGTTTCTCTAGTGTGAGAAATTGAAAGTGTAAATAAGGATGAAAATGATTAAAATGAATAATTGATAATTTGAAATAAGAAAAGGTCCAAGGGTTTGGGGATGGTGGAAGGGAAAGGGGAAAGGGAAGAAGGGAAAGGAAAAAATTATGAGGAAAAAAAAAATGTAATCAAACTCTGTGTAGATAGGGAAGGGGGGGGTGAAGGGTGCACAGGTAATGGGAGAAAAAATAAAAACTAAGATGCATCATGTTCTAGTACAAACACCCAATGATAAATGTAAATGTATTTTATACCTAAAATGTACCAATAAATATATATATTTTTTAAAATATCCATGAGTTGCTTGGATCACAACTGAGTTTATACTAAGGAGATGAGAGGATCTGGCTGATCATCAGAAAGACCAGCCCTGTGATTAGAGGGTTAGAACTTTGAGTTACCATGATCTCAATGGGAGGTGGGCTGGGGATTGAATTAAAAAGGCCCAACGCTCAAGTCTATCATGCCTAGCCAATAACAACTCTGGAGCCTGAAGCTCAGTGTAGTTTCCTGGTTGTTTAATACTTTAATGTGCCAGGAGGATGACATATCCTGATTCCACAGGGAAAAAGGATGGAAGCTCTGTATTTGGATCTTTCTAGGCCTTTCTTGATATTTCTTCATTGGGGTGTTCCTGATTTGTATAATTTATCAGAGAACTGAGTATAGCATAGTGCTTTCCTGAGTTCTGTGTCATTCTAACATATTGTCAAACTGGAAAGGATCATGAGAACCTCCAAACTTTTAGCTAGTCAGTTAGAAGTGCAAGTGGCCCAGGTCCCCTGAACAGCCTTATGGAGAACTGAACTCTTTAACTTTTGTGCTTCCTCTGGGTGTCAG